GAGGGGCGGCTCGGCAGGGCTCAGAGATGAGGAGCAGGGAGCGCCGTGCAGAGAAAGGGCGATACTGAATGTTCCTTGAAGTTTCTCAAAGTAGAGATTTTTCTTCGAGTATAAGAAATCTGCGGAGATTACAGATTATCTCTGCAGCTGTCACCTCTTCAGCCACTGCAGAAGCAGGGAGTTGCAGGATAGCGTCTAGGTCACGAAGTAGTGTTTGATTTGTTTGTGCTGTTTTGTTAGCCGTGGTATTTCAAGGGGTTATTTAAAAGTTCATTTAAAATAAACCCCTTCCAAACAGTGCGAGTAACACACACCAGCCACTCTATCCCGGGAAGAGCTCAGCTACTGGTTTATGAGCACTGTGAGGATAATTTATAATTTAGCATCATTTTATACGATGCTGTTAGGCATCAGTCCTCAGTAAAGTACATATGAACATACAGTGAATGTGATGTAATTTTCTTCTCAATGACTTGGGAGTTTAGGACTTTAGATTGGGGTGGGGAGGGGTTGCTAATTCACTGGTTAGAGTGGTTGTTTAGATGTCTTAATGGTCATAGTCTGCATGCACACAGAATAGGTAACATGTTAAAGGCCGATTAAAAGTAACCATGATACTTATATATGCTGTCCTGTACATCCTTTCCAGTGCAGATTGAGATGCCTTGAAAAAGACCAATCGCACATGCATATGTTCGTTCTCATCTGATTTTTCGCAGGGGTTGCTTTATTACAAGCATAATGGCTATTTTATTGATAATCAGTTCTTCTGTTGTCAATATATCCAGCAAAGAAATGAAGCTTGTCTAGGCAAACCTCTCATCTGTTCCCAGCGTCTAGCAGGATGTGGGCCGGAAGAGTGCATGAAATACAATACAGAAGTAATTTATTCAAGGATGACAAATATAGTGCTAGTCAGGAAAACGTGTGCTTTGTTAATACTTTACGAGAAGGGGATGTGTGCCTTAATTAGGTAGCAGCAGAGTGCCTTCTCATGTTGAAAGGGGCTAAGACATCTTGTCAGTCAGACATTTTCTCTTTGCCTGTTAGAAAGGCATGGCATCTTTCTGAACCCCTGGTAGGTGTATTGTTTGTAAACAGCTTGAAAAAAATGTTTGTGTGCATTAAAGTTCTTTAGGCACTGTCTCTGGGGACTGATTATCTTTTTCATTAGATTTGAATTTACAGAAAGGAAGTCTTTTTCTTAAATCCAAACCTCAGTCTGTATCTTTTTGATATCTTGGATAAAGAGAGAAAGGTGTTAGACTTTTATAGCAACCTGTAGGCTGTCTGGAAAACTGGCATCTTTAGCAGACACTGTCTTTGCTATGCTAAACTGTGTACGCAACTGAGTAAACCACTTCTAATTCAGCAAGTGGCGAAATAATGAATGTAAAACATAACTTTTTTCAGGCCACTGAGACTTTGTGCTGTGGTTTACACAGTCTGTAATGCAAACACATTTGCAGTCAAAAGACTTTGCTGTGTTGCTCTAGCATACAGGTGACTGGAGATGAACTTTGTTGGAATGTCGTGAAATGTGCCATTTGCATGTAAATGTAATTAAATAGAAAGTTTTCTGATTTTCTCCATTGTGATTCTAAACTTTCATCAGTTTACTCCTCTACCAGCCAGCTGAAGCTCCTCACCCTGTTGCTGTGCTGGCAGACAGTCGCTGTGCACCAGTTTCCTGTTGTAGGCATTGTAATGTCACAAATCAGTCTAGATTTTTATCAAGTGTTGAGGATGAGCTGTGAAGCACAAAAGAAGCTGACAGGTAGCCAAAATAGCAGGTGAAATGACTAAACCTGTGTGCTGGAGGTGAAGGTGACTCCTCGAACCATGCCGCTCTTCATCAGCAGGCCTTTTGCTGTCCTGTCACGCTCTTCACTTCCTTTAGCTCCCACCGTTGTCTTTAATGGTTTTGATTATTTTCCCTTTAAGGTTTACCAGGTTGAAAGTGGTCATCTTCCTCCTTCCTCTTGTGCCCACGCTGGTGTAAGTGTTAATATGGTCACTTCTTGGTTTCTGTGTTTGTGTGTAGTATTATTGGTGTCAGCATGGATGTGTACAGTTTGGGAGTTATTTAAATAGCTTGCCACATAGGATCCTATTATTTCTATTTTGTAGTTAACCCTTGTTTCATAGGGTTGGAAATAAGTGTTAGTTAAGCATAGGAGACCTACATTAGGTAGTTGCACTTGGAAAACAGAGAAAATGTGTTGATTTGGCAGGCTTGTATGCTTGCTAGTTTCATATGAACGCTCATATAAAGCATGTAAAAACATACTGCTTTAATACTGAAATTAGGAAAGCTAGCTTGGACTAAGTGTACATCCAAAAAGCTGTGCGAACTCTCCTCCTTCCGGTAGCCTGAAAGGCAAATGAAATTAATACTGTTGCTTGAGTGCAAGGTTGTGAAATTAAGTAAACATACATGATAACTTTACCTCACCTGCTGTTATTGGTAACAAACTGTGGTTGAGGGAGCAAAGCAGGGAGAAAGCTAGGTAAATTTGAAGTGTTGTCTAGCAGTGCAAGAGCATTACATTACAAGATGCAAAGTTTCAGATCAAATATTGAGAAGAAACAACTAAGATCACTTGAGCCGATTGCAGAGAGTTTCCTTGTGCCTGTTTAGCAATCTTTAATTGTATGACCTCATGAAATGTTTCTGCAAGATCTTTTTTAGGAAGCGGAATGGATGATGCCTAGGTTGGAAAGAAGCGCACACCTGAAGATCTGAGATGCTATGTACTTGTGATGTTAAGCAGTTAGTTTTGGTTCTAGTGCTGCATTACCAGAAGTGGATTTCCTGTGTGAACTTCCTTAATTTTTTTGGTGAAAAAGGTCTACCAAAGAGATGTTGTATTTAATGGACTAAGTCTGGGACAGCATAAATTCTCTAGTTAATTAAGAATACCTTCAAAACTCTGTGGTGGTGGTGGGGAGCCTGCTTTTCAAACGATTGAACTGAAATACTTCAGCTGCGTGTAGGTATGTTTTGGTCAGGAAGTTTCTTTTGAAGTTGGTGGAACTTGAATTTTTAACTTCTTTTTTTCTACTTTTCAGTGTTTGATGTAATCCTGTTTCAGTGAAAGCCATGTAACCTCTGTCAATGATACCGAAGCATTTTGGTTTTCTTTACTGTTTTGAACTGACAGGCCTCATGCAAACAGCATGCTTTTAATAACAAAAAGAGTTTTAGTCCCTGGTTGCTACAGGTACATACATGCTTACTCTTGGATGGTAGATTCGGTAATTTAACTTGTGTACATTGGCCTGCTATAGTCGGGCATCTTCTGTGGTGTTAGAAAATTAAAGTCTGCTAAGCTTTACTCTGTCGTTTATTTTTTTTAACTGAGATGAAGACAGTGTGTTTGAGAAGCCTTAATTTAAAAATGTTCCTAATCAAGAATGCTTGATGTAGCAGTTTTAATGCTTCATAACTTAGATTTTACAAGAGCAGCTTCTGAAGTGTTTTTTTTTTCCCCACAGTTTGCTTTGTAGGAAAGGGAATTATCCTAGAATTCCCGATTGATGATGCTGTGTGGATCCTCAACAGGATCATCAATTCAGATGAGACAGTCTGATCCAAAACACTAATGGCATCGGTAACACTTGGATGCTGGTTTTTGTGGGCTTGCTGTGAGTTATCACTGCCTGGAAGTGACTGCTACAGCTCTGGCTGGCCAGGGGCACTGAGATACGGGAGCACTGGATACTGCATGGGTTGCTAGTGGCAGTATTTTACTGCAAGACCTCTGCTACCCCTGTCTCCGTAACTAAACCTGTGCCTCTGCACCTTTGCTCTCAGTTGGACTTATTTTATTCCCTGAGCACTAGCACAGGGCAGTTGCATTGCCTATTTTCTCAGTCTTCTCTGCATTTCTGCCGAGTGATGTGAACAGCCTCCTACCAATTGGGAGAAACAATAGAAGAAAATGCCTTGTTCAGCTCCTGTTTCCTTGCTCCTACTCACAAATTCTGAAGAAATTCGTTGCCTCTGATAACAGCCATCTCCTGAGAACTAACGGGCTTTCAGGGACTTGCAAATGGGAAAAATCCCGTGTGGTGTCATAGACTTATTACAGTTTTCTCAATAAACAACCAGATCTAGATGCTGGAAATAAATATGATTTTAGCCTTTTGTTCTCTAGGAAGTGTGTGGTGAGATTTGCGTGTATGCATGAGATCTGCTGTCGCAGGTCTTCATGGAAAATGTCAGCATGGATAGACAGTTTGGGGAAGTGAATGGGTGTGCTATACTGTCAAAAAATCCCTGCAAAAATGCTTTTTAACAGCTTTTTTATTTCCTGGAGTTTGCACCAGAATTTCAAAGCAGGACACCTGTTTCAGTACATAATATGTCTATTAGTAGTAGAAGAAAGGGCAGGATAGGCTAACTGAATTGAAATACGAACCTTTAGAAGGTGCTCACTTAAGGGCAGCGGGATGAATGAAAGAATTCAGTTAGTAGCAGCTAGAGGTAAAAAGCAAACCAAGAAAGCAAAGAAATTAATATATTTTTAAAAAGTATCTGTAAGTCTGATATTTACTCTTTAAAGCAGGTCTTGCTTGTGTGAAAGAAGCTGACTTGCCATTTCGTGATGTCTTCTGTAGGTGTGAGAAACCTGCTTGGGGCTTGTGTATGCAGCTGCCCTGTTTGCAACTCTCGTTTGTATTTGGACTAAACTAGAAGTCTAACTCAAAATTAACTTATTTTAGAAATGCTTTACTCACCTGCTTTTTTAGAATAAAGACAACATTGTTGCTAAGATTAGCAAATTCATACACAATGAAAACTCCAAAGTTTTTCAGAAAGGGCAGGCAAGTAGGAAATCAATGTCCTGTATTTAAACTTTACATTTGCCTCAGATTCTCAAGAAGTTTCTATTGAGCTTCTACATAATGTCTGTAAAGGAAAAAGGAAGCTTAGTAATGCATTTTAGTGTTAACTGTTTTGGCCCTTAGGTTAACATGGTAAAAGCAAAGCTACTTGCTGTGCAGCTGGTGAACTAATTGTAGAAAAGTGTATGATCAGCTGCTTCCGAGTGGTGGTTACGCACTGCCACTGGCTCACCGAGTTACCAGGGAAAAGCACTGTTGATGCAGTGGTAACAGCACATTACTGTTTGTCTGTGTTGCAGGCCTTCTTCATTGCTTCTTCAAATGCAAAAAAAACCACCCCAGAGAAAAACTGGTAATGTTTCTGTCCTGTGTAGAACTTGATTCATATAGTTAATAAATAAAAGCACTTGAACACAGATGCTTGTACTTTCAGGGAATTGAGACTTCAGAGGGTTAATAGATCATCTGCTTTGATTTGGGGCACATTTTCATGTTTTTCTGAGTTGTTCCTGCTTTGAATCTTGTAACTTAACTTCAAATGTGTCTTTGGGAAGGGTATCCATTTTTAATTTGAAAATTTGCAGAAGTGAAGTGCCATTGTGCTTAGAAAGCCCCTAGTGCCCTCTCTGTGGTGTCCTGCTGCTGGTTCTTCCTGTCAGCTTCATGAAGGCTGAGCTGTTGGTTCCTGGTGTGCCTTTTGGCTCGGTTAATGAGCCGTATGGATGCTCTGCTTTCTCCTTGTGAAGATACAGACTGTGACAGGCATCTTCTTTGCTTTGACAAACTGAACTAAGCTCTCTGGCTCCAAGATGCTGGAAATCTAATATGGTGGGTCAAAAATGTGGGTATATGATGCACTGATCTAGTCTAAACACAGTTTCCTCCTTCAGATCTGCACAAATGTTTCTGATAGCTTAATTTGGAACTCACAGGCTTTGTTCTTATTTTTTTTGTTGTTTTCATCCAGTATCATCAGTTGTCTTCCCTGAGACTACTGTTGTGTGCTCTGGCTAATCTGGCAGAAATGCAGTAGCAAGCCTGTGCCTCCTGCAGGTCTGATTTGTACTGGGTTGTCCAGTACCACTTTATTTGATGCTAACAGTTGTGGAGTCATAGTCCAAGGAAGGGTATTTTCCCTTTTTCTGGGATTTTTTGAGACTCTCTTTTGTAACCCCTTTGTTTTTCTTTACAAAGAGGTATCAACACCTTAAGTTTCTTTCCCTCCACCCTATTTCAATTTCACCAATGCCATGTACAGAAGTGAAAGTGAGCCGTATCATCTCTATGGGACCTCGGGTAGCAGCCTGTGTTACAGCTTCCCATGTGAAGCTAATACAGAGTTGCTGTTTGTTCCTTCTCTCTGTGTCCGTTCTCTGAGAGAAACCTTTGGTTTGTGGGGTTGATCCTTTCTTCAGAAGTGCAACTTTAGTAGCACTGAGTTTGCTTCAAATGAAACAAAATGTGAAAGTGTCTGTTCTTTATTATTATTTTTACATTCTTGCTAATGTCAGTCTCCCTGAATTTATCAGAACTGACTTACTGAATAATAATGGACAGTGAATATTTTGAACAACATCATGCTTAGTACATGTTGGTGTGAGATTTCTAATGAAATTTCCCACTGGTGAGTATTTTTGAGGTTGGTAAGCCACTTTGGAAATCCTGCTGTATACTTTAATTATTTTATAACAATTTAAAAATAAAGTATAGCGTGTATTGCTAAATCAAAAAGTCATATGGGTGCCATATACACATCCCACACCTTTGCAGTTATCTTTATTACAAATACTCCTTGGCTGAAAGATGAATCTCTGCTTATCTGCCACAACTTGCTTTCTATAAAACTATGCTGAATGGCCCCTTTTTATGTTTCTGTCCTTTATACAGTAAATTAATTTGTTTCCAGTGTTGCCATTGGGTTGATACCAAACTCTGATAACCATCTATATCTTACTTGGCTTTAAATATTACACAGCAGCTCTACTTTTTTATCCATTACTTTATTGGTATTCCTGTGTTTAATAATGATGGATTGTCTCCAGTCCGTAGGAATACTGGTCTACTGCTCTGAATTACTTTGGGGATGGAAGTGAAATAAGAACTGAGATTTTTATAGTACATTGGGGAATTTTTAATAATGCGAAGTC